AAAAAAAAAAAAAAATTCTAATCACCTTTTTAAAAGTGTAAAACAGAAAATAACTCATAGCACATTTTTTTTCAACTTGTTATATAAATTTTTATTATTCCAACATGTAATCAATATAAAACATGATTGGTGAGATATTTTGCCTTCTTTTGTGTTTCACTGACAGCCCATCTCAGTTGGCACCCGCCACATTCAGGAGTGTTGTGGGGCTGGCGGCTGCCTTACTGGACAGCACATTCCGGAGGTGGGAGGTGGCTTGGGGAGGTCAGGCTACTCATGGTCTCTCTGTTTCTGTCCACTCAGCCGCCCCGTGGTGCCTCCTTTGATCCCACCAAAGATCCCAGAAGGGGAGCGCGTGGACTTCGATGTAAGTGACAGAGACCCCCTCCCCAGGTGCAGTTGCTAGTCCTTAAGGGGACTTTGTGCCAATCATGAAAAGGTGCCGTGCAGGTACACGCCTGTAATCCCACCCAGTACGGTGGTAGGCTGAGGTGGGCAGATTACTTGAGGTCGGGATTTCCAGACCAGCCTGGTCCATATGTTGAAACCCCATCTCTACTAAAAATACAAAAATTAGCTGGGCATGGTGGCATGCACCGTCATCCCAGCAACTCGAGAGGCTAAGGCAGGAGAATCACTTGAACTTGGGAGGTGGAGGTTGCAGTGAGCCGAGATTGTGCCACTGCACTCCAGCCTGGGTGACGGGAGGAAAACTCCATCTGAAAAAAAAAGGCACTGGTACCAACTCCCTTCTTTGGGAAGCCTGTCCTGTCCTTGGAGGAGCTGACTAGTGTCAAAACACGAGGTGTTGCTGCCACCTGCTGGACACCGTCCTGGGAAACGGTCCAGTTCATCCAGCATCCGGGAGGCGCTGGGAGGCTGCTGCCCTCTCCAGGTCTCCCAGGACAGGCTCCCCGTGTGTCCTGCAGGACATCCACCGCAAGCGCATGGAGAAAGACCTGCTGGAGCTGCAGACACTCATCGACGTGCATTTCGAGCAGCGGAAGAAGGAGGAAGAGGAGCTGATCGCCTTGAAAGAGCGCATTGTGAGTGGAGAGTCCGGGTTCCCCCCACTCTTCCTCACTCCCTGTGGATCCCTTGCATCTTGGGAGAGGCAGAGAATCATTTTCCTTCTAGCATAGAACTGAGCCTGAGGCTTTTGGGGATTTACCCAAGCCAGCGGCCACACTCCAACCTGTTTATCTCCACTCTTAGCCTACTCTGGGGTGGGATGACTTGGGGAGACATGCCTGCACCCCCTTATTCTTCTCCATTTCCCAGGAGCGGCGCCGGTCGGAGAGGGCAGAGCAACAGCGCTTCAGAACTGAGAAGGAACGCGAGCGTCAGGCTAAGCTGGCGGTGGGTGCCTCCCCTGGCCTCAGGCTAAGCTGGCCTCCCCTGGCTTGGGAGCCCAAATGTTACTTCTTCAGCTGCATGCCCCATTGTATTATTAATTAATTTATTTATTTATATTATTGATTTATTTGGAGACAGGGTCTCGTGCTGTCACCCAGGCTGAAGTGCAGTGCCATGGTCCTAGCTCACTACAGCTAGGACCTCCCGGGCTCTAACGATCCTCCCACCTCAGCCTCCAGAGTCGCTAGGACTACAGGCACGCGCCACTCTGCC